CAAAATATATGAACTTCATATATTTCATTGTATCTCATTTATCACTTTCACGGGTTTATTACGAATCAACTTAACGGCCTGCTCCCAGTTGGCTTGTTAGCTCAATTGGTAGAGCGCTGCACTAGTATCGCAGAGGTCAGTGGTTCGAATCCCGTACAGGCCTGATTTTTTTCAGGTCTGATTTTCGCTATTGCTTAAATAGCGCTATCTACTGCGAGGATCGTGCATCATACGTATCTAATACCGCAGTTCAAAATATATGAACTTCATATATTTCATTGTATCTCATTTATCACTTTCACGGGTTTATTACGAATCAACTTAACGGCCTGCTCCCAGTTGGCTTGTTAGCTCAATTGGTAGAGCGCTGCACTAGTATCGCAGAGGTCAGTGGTTCGAATCCCGTACAGGCCTGATTTTTTTCAGGTCTGATTTTCGCTATTGCTTAAATAGCGCTATCTACTGCGAGGATCGTGCATCATATGTATCTAATACCGCAGTACAAAATATATGAACTTCATATATTTCATTGTATCTCATTTATCACTTTCACGGGTTTATTACGAATCAACTTAACGGCCTGCTCCCAGTTGGCTTGTTAGCTCAATTGGTAGAGCGCTGCACTAGTATCGCAGAGGTCAGTGGTTCGAATCCCGTACAGGCCTGATTTTTTTCAGGTCTGATTTTCGCTATTGCTTAAATAGCGCTATCTACTGCGAGGATCGTGCATCATATGTATCTAATACCGCAGTACAAAATATATGAACTTCATATATTTCATTGTATCTCATTTATCACTTTCACGGGTTTATTACGAATCAACTTAACGGCCTGCTCCCAGTTGGCTTGTTAGCTCAATTGGTAGAGCGCTGCACTAGTATCGCAGAGGTCAGTGGTTCGAATCCCGTACAGGCCTGATTTTTTTCAGGTCTGATTTTCGCTATTGCTTAAATAGCGCTATCTACTGCGAGGATCGTGCATATGTATCTAATACCGCAGTACAAAATATATGAACTTCATATATTTCATTGTATCTCATACTGATCTTAATTCTACCATTTTATCATTTATAACAGATATCTTATGGGTATGAGTGGAAAAAAGAGAATTTTATATACCTCTGTGACATATTTTAGTGGTTCTTGTGCAGCCTTTTTCCTGGCTTCGATTTCAGCTTTAGATTCACGATCAAACTGCAAGCGATATCTGGAGAAAATCATAATTATAAATTATTCAATAAAATTATGGTCAATTCAAGGTAGAATTATGTTTTTAGCCGCAAAGAGTAACACATTAATTTTTATAAAATCTAACAAAAAAAATATGGTGGTTGTTTCTCATTCCAGAATGCTGCAGAAATTTGAAAATACCCTTGATTCATTTACATTTAAGTGTAACTAAATTTACTTCCATTGATAGTTTGAGAACTTAGTAGCTATGGCCTGTCTGAAGGTATTCAAGCAGTAGATTGCACTATCTTTAGATTTGCTGATGTGGTAAAAACCTGCATGGGATGTTGGGAGAACAACAAAAAATTGTAAAATGCAATTTACTGTACTGTTAGTATTATTCATTAGAAAAATTAAGACCTTTAATGGTTCACGGTTCCTTAAAGGAAATGATTCCTCCTCTCTATCAAGCATATACGTATAAGGGTTTCATTCTTTTATTTAGGGAAGAATTGAATTGATTACTTTGTAAAGAAATTACTTTGGGGGACGTATTTTTATATCTTTCTCAGTGCACAACTAAAAGCTCAGATGAGCGTACAATATTCCAAAGATAACCTGTACCTGTTTGGATCGTGTTTTCTGTTTTTTCCCTGCCCGTGTGTGAAGGGCTGATAATGTAATTTATCGACATCTGCTCTCCTATCATCTAAAGATTTGTCGAGCCCTCCCATCTCAGACTCTTCATCGCCTTCTGTATCGGCTGAATTCCCGTTTGACGACTTGCTTCCTTCATCTGCAGAGACAAATTCGTCTGATCAATGAAAAAAAGTCTTTTGCGCCAACGACGTAACACAATTTAGAAACAGATATTCATGTTGCTAATGATGGTAAGATTGTTTTGAAGAAAGTCCTCTATCGCAAATGAATTAAGTAAGTTCAGAGTAAATTCAATATACCTAGATTTTTCAAGCGAGTTTTTTCGCGTTTTTCCTGAAGTTGTTTCTTTTTTTGTTTGTTGCTAAAGGGTTTTTTGCGCGGCATTTCCAGCTCGTTTCTTAATCATAACAATAGCATGGAGAGTTGCATTTAAATTTATATTAATACAGACATCAACGTAATGACAACCACTGACCTTGACATACAAATACTCTCGAAGCTTGGTAGCCTGCCAGCCCAAAGCGAGGCTTCTGAGACAAACATGGCGGACCAGCGTGCAAAAATTTAATGTTTACCGCTAAACTTGTAATATTATATCAGAAACATGGTAAGTAGACAGTGATAGGGGCCAGATATCCTTAAAGTCCTATACTCAATTATCTTGACAGTTCTTTGATAATAGAAAATGATAGCTAAAACGATGCATTACCTTTGGGACCAAGACTTTGTCTTGGAGTCTTGATTAGGATTGTTCGGAAATCTTTCCATGATTTATAATGCAACGGCCTCAGTTTTAGAACCTCAGATAGATTAGCTGAAAGATTTGGTCAAAAATTTGGATACTCAAAGAAAGAAAATAATTTCGAGAGAAACGTAGGAGGAACTGTAGCCGCTTTGTCGAAAAGCGAGACAACTCCTGCGATCGGGAAGTATGAGGTAAGTAAGTAAGTAA